GACACAATTGAGAATGCTAATTCTATGCCTATGTGATAGAAACAGTGAAAGAATGAATACAAGCTGAAATACATAGAACTTCAGATTCAGAGGGGAATACATTACTTTTTTTAGGTTTTGTTTGTATAATGCCATTTTGAAAGAGAAAATTGTATTCAACTAACCTGTTCTTTTTGTCTGTACGATCATAATTATTTAAAATTTTCCCTTAGAGACTGATTGTATAACTTCAGTCTATGTGGGAAATTATATTGTTTTGAGATTTTATTTAATATACTTTAAAGCTGTCTTTTAAGCTTTAGTGCTAAACTCTTACCCTTTCATTAAATATTAACTATTTTCACAAGACTTCCCTTCTTTCAGACAGATCACTTTTATCTTAATACTGCAAGAACCAGATTTGTGAAGCTAATACAGCTGTCCTTAAGATTAGTCTTGGATTTTAAATGGCAATTTCAGACTAATATGTCACGTCCTATGACGAAGATAGCAGTAAAACTATACTGCACAACCAATTCTGAGTTTTGTGAATTTTGAGTTCACATGAAGCAGGAAATTTAACTGTTATTTATAGTAGGTGTAGCAAAAGAGGGATATCTCCTTTCTCAGGTCTTGGAAGGTATACTGCTGTGCTTTTTGAATTTGAAAAATTAGATTGCCTTTGCATATTTAAAAAAATTCCTTGGGTATCATTTTTGTAAGTCAAGGAAATTGTAGAGACAGCTTGGCATTATTTTTAGGAAAACTGAAATCCATCAATTATGAATTAGGTCATTTACTAAGATACATATTTGTGGTCATTATTTATTTTTCTCTTCATATGTCTAGCTTCTATGTAGAGAAGATTAAGTATATCAAGTATAGAAGTCTGAATTTGTAATAAAGATATAAGATGTAATGTGAGTTTCAAAATGTTTATGCCGTTTTGACTTCTATAGTGATTATCTTAAAATTTTCAAACCAAAAAATTCCCATCATTCTTTATTTGAATTTTAATAAAATATTTTCTTATAGTCAGATATTTATAGGTAAAAACTTATTCATAATAGTGATTAAAATAAAGATAGACACATTTATTTAAAAACCTTTGATAGTCTGCTTTGTGGTAGTCAGATATTTTCACTTGTTGGTATAGACAAATCACAAATTAGAAAGTTCTTAAGAATATTACTTCTCATTTAAAAGCAACATTATATTGTGATTTTATAAGGTAACCACAATAGAAGTAACCAACACAGTTCAGTAGTTTTTAATTCTAGAACCTAAGATAGCTCTTTGTATTTAAAACAACAAACAAAAAACAAAGCAGCACCTGCTTAATGTTTCTTTTGAACTAGATTATGATTTAAATACATAATTAAAAGAAAAGTAAGAACATTATCCCAACTTTTTTCTTCAACAGATTTGTTGAAAATAATTATTACTATTTAGCAGGTTTGCTTTATTTGATTATTAAAAGCATTTCTGTGAGTCAGTTTCAATTTATAGGCATAATAAATTAGAATACAGTGGAGGTCTGATTATATAGAGTGGTTACAGACTGGTGTATTTGGTAAATTTTGTATTCTGGTTATTAGGTATTACCATAGATTTGCTAATTTCCAAAGAATTATTATTAAAGCTAAAATCAGTGAATGACTTCTTGAAACTAACTGTCTCTAAGGAGTCGAAAAGACCTTAAGTATCTTTGAGCATCTTGAATGAATTTAGGAACATCATCATGTTGTATTTTTTAGCTATAGGAAGGGTTTTTTTAATGTTTCTTTGTATAATACACTTTGATGTCAGTTTGCTTGTCGCTTGTCTGTTTTTCATAAAGTTTAAAATACATAATATCCCCTTATTTGTGTATTTTAGGTATATGAAGTCTATAACAGTGGAAGTATACTATACAAATAAGAAATTAAGATAATGATGTGAAAACATGGTATGGGATATTAAAGAAATTTTCCAGAAATCTGGCAGTTAACTTGGAATCTCCCTTTTCCAATGTTTACTCTCGTATTTTTAGGAGTATAACAAAGTGTGTATAGAGAACATGAATCTTACATTAAAATTGTTGTCCATGGGCCAAATACAGTTTTGGAATGCATTTAATCTGTTCCACAGGTTTGTTTTTTTTTTTAATTATTTGCCAAAACTTACAAGTAAGAAGATTTCACATAAAATCTGGATCTCTAGCTTGTCTTGAAAAAGTTGAAGCAGAGTAAAGGATGTTCCAGTTATTCACAGACCCTTTCCTCTTATACCTCCTTCTTTTATGCCTTGTCTGTTTGTCTCATTGACTTATTGATAGCCAAATGTAGTACAGAAGTAACAATGTGAGCTGTGGAGCCAGACAGGATGGGTTCAAATTCTGGCTTCAACACTTACTAATTGTGTGACTGAAGACAAATTATTTAATCTCTCTATATCTTAGTTTTCTTTTGGTAAAGTGAAAATCATGATGAAGACACATCGTAGAGTTGTTGGGAGGATGAAATGATGATTACACATGAAACATTTAAAGTGGCTTTGTCATGTATTCATTGGGCAATAGATGTTAACTATAATTAATAATGCTTTTTGCCTGACCCCCGTTAGGCGTTTGAGTTTGGTGATTCTTACTTCTCCATAGTAGAGAACTTTATTTCTTAATTTGTTCGTTCATTTGGTCAGCAGAATTTATCGGATTCTGTTTTATAATGTAACTGATTCTTTATGTTTTTCTATCCTCTATTGGATTCTATTCCTCAGAGTTCCTTCTCTATAGTAAGTGCTCAGTATGTGTTGATTGATTTGTGTATATAGAAAGCAAATACTGACAACTGTCTAGATTTATGGATTCAGGATTTATAGCTTTAGATTTGTTACTGTATATTGGCAATGAAAGTTTTCTGCTTTCTCTAGTGTTGGTTTTGCCTAACCTTCTGCTTCTTTTTGTTTTAGCCACAGTCTGAGGGAGAAAGGATTTGTTTACATTGACAGTGAGTGTGGGTGGGCAAGATTTGGAGCGTTATGATAACAATCAGAAAATGTACAGGACTGTTTTACAAAGTGAGAATTTAGAGAGAAAGTGAACAAGATAGAGGAGCATTTTATTTTGGGAAAATGTTGGTCAATAATTTGTGTGGGGGCTGGCCGGGTGGCGCAGCAGTTAAGTGCACATGTTCTGCTTAGGCGGCCTGGAGTTGGTGGGTTCGGATCCCAGATGGGGACATGGCACCGCTTGGCAGGCCATGCTGTGGTCGGCATCCCACATATAAAGTAGAGGAAGATGGGCACGGATGTTAGCTCAGGGCCAGTCTTCCTCAGCAAAAAGAAGAGGATTGGCAGCAGATGTTAGCTCAGGGCTAGTCTTACTCAAAAAAAAAAGAAAAAAAAGAATTCGTGTGTTCATGGGCTTCCCTGGAGACTTTCCTCCACAAGTGGAGGCCACATCCTATAAAATTACATATTTATTTTGGTTGGACTTTCTTTTGCAGCTTAACATTCTGCATTTCCTCTTCCTTTCATGTCCTCCCTGATCTTGAAATTTAAACGATTATGTTACTTACATTATTTTGGATGAAAATTAGTGACCCTGGTTTATTTTTTGGAAGATTTTGATTTGAGAAGGTCGTTTGTACCTTATAGATATAGAAAATTTGTAAGTAGTTAGTGTATTTTGGAAGTTAAAAAATAATTTAATTTTTAAAAACCTTTGTTTAAATTGGAATTATTTATAGAAATGAGAATTGAGAAGGAAAACCTTCAAATTGATAAAAAAGAAACATAGGTAGTTATTTACATAAACTCACCTCTGTAACCATAATACCAGAGACAGAAATTAAAAAGGAGATATAGATATATTTCTTAAAGTTTCTTGTCACAAAAATGCCATATAATTAATTTGAAGACAGACAGACTCTGAGAAAAATATATGTATCATATGACAAAGGTTTAATATCCTTAATATTTAAAATATGCTTACAAATCATGAAGACAATCATAGCAATAAACTCCTTCCTCAAAAGACAATAAGCAAATATCAGAGAAAACATATGAAGTCTTCAGTAATCTCACTTATCGAGCAAATGCATTATAAAATTTGACTATCATGCTAGTCTGAAGAAAAAGGAATTACCTATTCCCATTGTTAATTAGAGTCCAAGGGAAATGAACTGTTTTATTATGTACAAATCTTTCTAGAGTGTAATTTGCTGAAACTTATCACAAAATCTTATTTTTTTTAATATGTATGTTTTGGTTCAGCGGTTACACTTAGAAGAATGTATCCTAAGGAAATAATCATGGATGTGACATGGATGTTATAAAAGATGTTCAGTTTGAGGCTTTTTATAGTGTTGAACAACTGAAAGCATCCTAATTGTTTACTAATAAGGAATTTGATTACATAAATTATTATAGCTGTATAATGGAATACTAGGGATCCATTAGAAGTGATAATATAGACTTTTGTTATGGGAAGGAAGATGTGATAATTTATATAATCAGTATGTTTAGCATGGTGGATCACATTAAAAATATATGTATTTTAAATGCCCAGAACAAAGATAGGAACGATTGTATAATAAACTGAAATGTTAACCGTGGTGTTTTTAGCTAATAACAATTATGAATAATTTTTAGTTTGCTGTATATTTTATATTTTGAAAGTTTCTGTTCTAAATGTATATTGTTTTAGTAGTAAAACAAAAGGATGTTGTAAATGTGACCATAATTTAACTTACAATTCAATTTTTTCTGCGGAAGTTTGTTGAAAATAAATGTGATTAAACATTGAGGTAAAGCTTACCAATGAAGTTCAGATTTGGGGAGAAATTGTTGAAATGGAAATTTTGTACCATTTTTTCACTTCTTTGCATATGCCCGCCAATCTGTAGTAACAGTCCTTGGAGCCTGTGGAAAAGTTGTTAATGTCCGTAATGCTCATTTAATCATTTCAGTCTTATATTTATTCCCAGTCATAGCAGAAAGAAAAATTATTTACCATTTTCTCTGTATTTTTCATCTTCTAGGTAGTCACTTTTGGTGTCATTGTCCAGTTCTCACAATGTATCATTCCTTATCTGAAACGAGACATCCTCTGCAGCCAGAAGAACAAGAAGTGGGCATTGACCCCTTATCTATTTACTCAAACAAGACTGGAGGTGAGTTTTGTGTGCGGATACATTCTGCAGTTACTGGGAAACGTAACAGAGGGTCTTCAGTTAGCCCTGCCTACCTTATGTGTGTAATTCTGTAGATGAAGCTGAGCAGGGCAACTTGAAGAACATTTCCCTGAGTAGGTATAGAGCACTCTGACACCAAAGAATACCACAACACGTCAACTTTCAATTGTAGACTGAAGGCTTAGCCAAATGTTTCATGTACTGTCATTCTTTTTAAAAAAATCATGAACTTAAACAATTACTTCATCATGAGGATGCTGAATTGCAAATGGTCTTTGTCAAAATCAAACATCTTTTAAAGGAGTCTAAGCTTTTGGTGTTGATTTTGCAGGGATTTTTTTTTTCCCTCAGAGGAGATTATTCTAGAATAAAGGGCTTGTTTGATTCTCTATCGTTTTTTTTTCTTCAAATAATTGAAATGTGTTGTAGTTTTAAAGAACTATGCACTGAAATTTTTTTAAAAAACGGACTGTTAGAAAGGTCAAATGTATTCAGGGTCTACCATATAAAAATTTATCAAATGTGTATCTGGCAGAACTCTATTATTTTCTCAGTATTAGTAATAATATAGTATCTGAGAAGGAAACAATGAGTTTGTGAGAATTCTTAAAGCTTTATCCTTATTTTTTACTTATTCACTAAATGTTTAAAAAAGTTGATTCACTGACTCAGGTAACTGCTTGTAATATTTCACTCATGAAATATATATATATCAGGATTGTGAGATCTATTTTAAAATATCATAATTAGTCCAAGTAATTCATATGTGTTTTGTATGCTTCAAATACAATTTTTTTTCTATATTGATATAAAGGTTTGCCATTAACTCATGTTTTGGGAATTTAAAAAAATAATTGCTTAAAGTGACTATTTCTTTAGTACACAAGCTCTTGACTTTATGGAGTGTGTTCTGTTTTTTTGTGCACCTTTAAGATTTTCTACATCATACAAAAGCCATTGTTGTTTTTAATGAAAATAGTGTAATTTGCCTTGCAACTTATTTTTGTGATTTTGTTTTTATATTTGCTTTTATCTAAGAGCTCTCAAAAAAACTGCTTAAGGTTTTGCAAATATAAAAAAATTATTAGTGTCACATTTCAGTTTCAGCATTTTAAAAATTTAAGTGGTAAGAATGATACTACCTTTCCTAGTGATGTTTTTCTTACATGTAACACCTAAAGAAGCACTCATAATTAAAAATGTCAAATTATTTTGCCAACACTTCTATAAGTGGGTATTTTAAAAATGAATATGTTTTTGTGTTATAAGTATATAAAAGTTTCACCAAAATTTTCTGGTATATATGCTTATTTTAGAGCATTGGGTTTCTTTTTTTTTAAGTGCATATTTTTCTCTGGTCAGACGTTCATTAAATATTGAGGTTCTTTTTTTTTATAACCAGTTAAAAAACATTTTAAATTAATTTTATCTTTTATTGTTTGCAGGAATAAGTAGTTACCTTTACTGAAAGAATTTTCGTTTATATCCTAGCTAACATTTCTATGACATACAAAGTTATTAGGACTGAATTGATGTTTAAAAGTGCCATTAATTCATTTACCCCAAATGTTCATTAACAATGTAAATGTATGCTGATGTTCTATGAGACAAGGAAGTGACTAATGACTCCTCCAACTAACAACACTTAAAATGAATAGAAACTTTAGATAGCTAATCTTGAAGTAATCAAGACCCTCATTCAGTTTGGCATCTCTGTATGCTCTAAAACAGCTGTCAACTGTTAAAAATATATACAAAACACACATATGCACACGCACATGCAGAAAGAAAGATATGTAAATATCTAGTTCTTCAAAGACATAAAGGTTACTAACCGTAGTGGGTTTTGTGCATTGTATATGTAAATATTTTATATAAAGCATCTATTTCATCTTCTTAGACTTCCTTTTTGCAGAAAAACATGTGTTGCATTTTAATGGGTTGTCATATTTCCTTGAAGAATCATCACCTTTCTAGTATGTTTGTTTATTTTAATATGTGTCTTTCATGGAGTTCTCCATGTATTTGAAGCCTTTTACACATTTTTCCCACAAGGCAATTTGTGGCAACTGGGTGACTCATTTTGTAAGTAGTCAAACGCTGGACTTAATCACTGATTTCCCTGTGTTGAAGTCATGTTTTTTGTTTTTTAATTCCTGTTATAGATTCCATAGGTAGAAGAGTCTTTGATTTCTCAAGTCTGAATTTTAACATTTGTAAAGAAACAGTATATTATCGAGTTAAATGATTCTGAGTATTCTGGAAGGGATTAGCAAAAATAGCCACATAATAGGAATGATGGAGAGAAGACTGTATATCACTGGTTTATTTTCATGTGTGGTTGAGGAAAGTGGATGAGAGCAGAAAAAAGAATTGTTTGGATATATACATGTAAAATCTTGGGGCGTATTTTCCATGTCATTAAACTTTGCTTAAATTTCTTTTTCCAATAGAGAACAATATAGAAAGTATGACATTTTCTCTGCACTCTATTAAATTTGGTCTCAAATAAATAAATTACCACCTTAAATTCCAAGATCTTTGATTAAAGGTGTTGATAATAATTGACAAGTTACCTATAATTCAATTGAAACCATAGAAAAAAGCAAAAATGGTTGTTCAGCTATTCATGATTATTCGTTCCTAGCATATAACTTTTAATGATCAGTTAAATGAAAAAGTAGTCATTTTATTTTAAACTGAAAACAATATCATCAAGATTTAGGGAAACTTTTAGCCTATTAATAAAATGATATTCTTGAAATGACTAGTTGTTTTCACAAGCTTGTAAGAGATCTGGATGTTGCTCATGATGAAAGAACATTTTCCTCTATTAGTTTCTTTTGAGAATAGCATTTTAATACATATTGCCAGAGTTTTTAGCTTCAATTTTATATGCCTTCTTACTTACAGCTTTTATAATAAGTGTTCAGATAATTACTTAATGTAATACCTTTTTATATAATATCTGTTTCAAAGCTTTCTTTCTATCTTCATATATAAAATATTTAGCAACCTACTTGAAAAAAAATCCAAGACATTCAGAATACCCTACCTACTCCATTTTTGCCTCTTGTAATTTATTTTTCTTCCAATCTCCCTTTCTTTCTGTTATAATATCAGAGTTTTAGAACTAGAAGAGAGTGCCTGGCTTTATTGATGAATAAATTGGTAATAATTGAAATAGTTCACAGACATTGATGTAATAAAATGATGCTGTTGTAGGGGAGGAAGACATTTCCTCTACCTGCTCTGGTTCCTTCTGGCCAGACATCATATTAAATTCACATGAGACAGAATAACAGGAGAAAATTAAACAAAGCTTTATAACATCTATACATGGGAGGGGCTCAGTCACACTGAGCCACTCACCAAAATGGCTGAAGCCACCACCTTAAATGTCATCTTCAGCTAAAGACAAAGGAGTACGTTTGGGGTGGGGGGAGTCAGTTTTGGGAGATTTCTGGAAAAGCACAGTAAACAGGGGTAAAGTTATAATCCTTGCCTTCTGCATTGAGAAGAGTTTCTAGAGATAAGGTCATCCCCCCTTCTTCCTGGTACAGAGAGGGAGACACCTTTACAGTTGGAGATTTCCTTTACAAATGTAAATGTCTCTTAACAAAGGGTAAGTAAATTCTACTTTTCAGAGTTTCTTTCCTGTCTGCAGTTTTTAAAAGTAACCAGCCCAAAATAATCCTCATGCCAAAGAGACATATCTTGGGGTGGCCAATTCCAGTCCCCTACACTGTCCTATTATGATCTTTAATATTGTTTTCCATATAGTAAAAGCAGATTTAGATTTGAATAAAAGATGAATTTGTTCTTCTGAAGATATCTGGCCAAAGTATAGGATGCTGTCTGAGCCATCTTACTTTAAACCTTGTGCTTGGTCTAAGTAGCTGGAGTCACTTTAGGGAGGGGAAGAAAATCTTCCTTTCCTGGCTTACAGCTCTTCAGTGGTTTTCTATTGCAATAGTAATGAAATTTAAACTCTTTATCATGATATTCTTGTCTGTCTTGGGTATCTGGTCTTGTTTGGATGTTCTAAGCCAGTTCTAAACTTTGGGCCTTCCCACATGCCATTTTCCCCTAACATTATTTTTTTTCCCTTCATAGCACTCATCCTTTAATGTAATCCTACGTTAATTTGTTTCATTGTTTATTGTTTGTCTCCTTGTGTAAAGTGTGAGATTTATGAGGGCAGGGACCATTTGTATAGCTAGTGCCTGGCATATGGACACCATTGAATAAATAACAGATGAATGAACTCTGTTTACCAGTTTGAGCTTGTCTCAAATTGCTTAATGTGTCTTTCCTCCATCTACCTTTGTCCTTCCTGTCCTAAGTTGTTATATATGAAATCTGTTTTATTTGTCCCTCATTATTCTAGTACTTGACTTTTTCTTCTTTTAAGGCTTGAAAAGTCAGTATACTCTCCTCTCCTCCATTGGGTCTTTGACCTCTCCTTCTTTGAAATCTCTCTTAAAATTCACTTCTTTCTTTTTTTCTTTCATTATCACTATATCAAAATTTCCATAAAGACCAAGTGGAGAGAGGTTCCTGGCAAATAAATGTCAAGATATGATATCCTTATTAACCCACAGCAAAAATCACTTAGGAAGGGAAAGCTAAGGAAATAAATGATTACTTGTCCAAAAAGTTTGTGGCCATAATTTGGGAGCCTAGACTAAAGTATACCTATATTTATTATACACATTTTATATATATAGCTTTTAGTGGAAATTCTGTGAAGATGACATTCTTAATTCCTGGTTTCTAAAACGTCTTAATGTGATTTATTACAAATATTGCATATGAAACACTATGGACTCAAGAACCTATAGTGGTATAGGTTTTTCTTAGGTTTACAACACTTCTAAATTTATCGTCATTCAGTAAATATTTGAGTGCCTTCTATGTACCAGGCACATAGGGTTGGAAATAAAACATTAAAAAAGATAAGTGTAGTCCTGAATGCC